CACTTAGTGCAAAAGCGATATATGCTATTTACACTGTGTAATTGGCAATAGATTATTTTTACACTAAGTGAAAATAGTATTTTCTAAGAGATATTCTATTTACACTAAGTGCAAATAGCAATAGACAAAAGTTACTGTCACTCTCCTTCCTGCTCCACCAGTACTGCTATTTGATGGGAGTCTTTTGTAATGTTGTCTAGCTCAACCACACAGTGGTGGGCGGAGTTAGTATAAATAGCCTCTGCCAACAAGGCAGAGCATAGACACTCCGATAAATATTAGCACACTTTAGTTGAATAATTTAGTTTAAAGGTCATTTTTATTTATCTACAGTTTAATTCAGATATTTGTTCACTCTCACATGCTCATTTCCATAGTAATACCAAATATGTTACAAATAGCATGCTATACACTCTAAAAAAACAAGAAAAAAACCCCAATTTGGGTTGTTTTGAAACCTATGGCTGGTTCAATATGGAATATTTTGATCTAGGATGTCGGGTTTAACCCTGCATAATTGGTTGATTTATGCTAATTCAACTTACACCTACTGATATCTCGTCCCTGTATGTAGCGTTGCATAAAATGCACAGTAAAGACGTTATAGATTAAATAAAATGTATACAAACCTTTATTTTCCCGAATAAATGCACCAGTTAAGTGGCGCTGAGAATAGCTCTCTCCTGAAGAGGATGTAAAAAGCCCACACTCTTTACCTCATCAGCTGGGTTGTATGCTGCGTTCCATTTACCTCAGATGTCGTATGTCTTAGTTGGGAACGATGTCATACCTAAGATGACCATATTCCAGTACAAAAATCGGACGCATCCATTGTTGGCAACACCAGTCTATAAAATACATAAAACGCATAATACCAAAGTATCACGTCCACAGATAGAGGTTAGATTAGTACTGGGTGTATTGCTGGGGCAGTCGTGGCTTAATGGTTATAATGTCGGACTTGTAACCTAAAGGTCGCAGATTCGAGTCACCGGTACCGGCAGGGATTGTAGACGTCACTTTCACTTTTGTTTCAGCTGTCAGTGAGACTGACATATATATATATAT